GAGAGAGAGAGAGAGAGAGAGAGAGAGAGAGAGAGAGAGAGAGAGAGAGCTGGTGGCCAGTGATGCTTTCCCACAGTGATGGACTGAGTCGATTAGTACTTAGATGCAATAAGCTCTACGTTTGTAACCACAGCAGAGAGGAGCCACTTCATCCAGAGGACACTCAACGCCGTCGCTCTGCAACATCAGAAGCTCAGCAGTCGTTCAGACTCCATCCTATAATTTGTCTGCTCTGTGTTAATGCCTTCAATGAAGCAGAAAAATGCCAAAGGTTCAAAATAAGTTCAAAGCATGTTCTGTCTCACGTTCTCTTTAAGTGAGCAGAGCAATAGAAACAAGTAGAGAGGGCACTGCCTCTGAACTACGACGTCCTGCAGCATCCATGTTGTGTCTGTAGGCTCATCCTCCTTAAGATACTGCTCGCTACTAGTGTCCTGTGAGGTAACGTTGAGAGAGACAACAATAACAGCACCAACGCTAGAATAGAAACAGGACTAATAATGGAGTGGTGGATACAATAGAGTGATAATAATAGTGGTAATAGCAGAAATAATATAGAAATATGACTGTCAAATCAATGTCATAGTTTAGCATGTCCTGAAAATGTCCTAAAAGTCGAAGTATAGTACCTTTTTAAAATGTCATATTATAGTATTTCGTCATGTCTTCAAAAGTCATAGTATTGTACATTGTAAAAACGTTATAAAAGTATCATTAAAACGTCGTAGAAAAGTATAGCATGTCATAAAACGTCGTAGTATAGTCTGACTTTCATTGCACACCATAGCATGAGACACGCCAACATGACTCTGCTGATATGAACCCCTGAGTGAGTCTCAGGTTTGTTGTTGTGCTGCAGTGACTCCTGGTGCTCAGCTGCTGGAGCAGACGGCTAGACTACAGTCCCTCAGCGACACTCTGGGCCGCCTGAAGGTGAGCACGCCGTTCAATACCTGACAGGCTGATTCAGTAACAAACGTCCTCATCTTTCCTCCTCTTTCCTCCTCTCCACTCGGTCAGGACGAAGTAGCTGAGCACGTCGTCCACCAGCAGCCTGGAGCTCGAGCGTCGTCTGATTTTGCGACGTTCCCTTCAACCTTGTTTGTAAAGGTGAGTACTTCAGATGCACCTGTTCCAGTATCTACTGTCTCCCTCCCTGCTGTCCTTCATCTCGTCTTCATCTAGAAGTGAGAAGGATCTTACCACCATCCACCATATTGAACCCATTCTTGTGTTTAGGCGAAGGAGGAGAAGCAGGGCGACACGGTGCTGGTGGGTCGGGTCATGGTGCCGTGTAACCGCGGCCAGGAGCAGGTCCATCGCCTCGTCCTGTCACAGTCTCAGCTGCAGAGAGTTCACAGTCTGCTGCAGACCTAAACGTCACCTGAGATCCTGCCTGCTGCACCAACACAACACCACCACAACCACCACCACCACCACCACCACACCCACACCCAACACCACCAAAACACACCAACAGCGTGGCAGCCTGGTCTCCTCTCCAGGGCCAAACCAGTCACACCAGGAGGTATTTCAGATCACGAGTGGAGAGATTACAACCTGCAGGAAATGATCTTCTTTGAGATGCAGGTTGATGAGTGACGGTCGGGGCTGTAGTTCACTCATTCAATGATAACGGGCCCTAAGTTTAAGGACTTGCTGCTTTTTTTTGTCTTTTAACACTAAACTGAAGATGTTTGTGAAGATGTCACTCAATTCAATTCAATTTATTTTTGTATAGCCCAAAATCAAATTATTATTAAAATAATAAATTAGCCTCAGAGGGCTTTACAATATGTACACATGTGACATCCTCTTGTCCCGGGACCCTCGCATCAGAACAGGAAGAACTCCCCAAAAACCCCTTTAACGGGAGAAAAGAGGGAGAGACCTGAGGGAGAGCAACAGAGGAGGATCCTCTCCCGGGATGGACAGACGTGCAACAGATGTCATGTGTAGAACAGGATAACTGAGTTACGACACATTCAATGTAATTACAGCACATTCTCACTCAAGACTTTGTTCAATTGGAACATTTCACTGTTTTGTTGCATTTTGTTGACAAAAGAACGAAGAGAATAATGTGAAGATGAATTGTTCTGATCACTAACTGTAGGCCGAACGACAGTTGTTCATTTCTAAAGATAAGATCAGGAAAGAAGCACATTACTTTAGTGGTTTACACGTCCAAAGAGTTCAACTATCACCATCAAATATTAGACTCTTTCCTGTAAAACTTCCCAGTGATGGAAACATTCAGATCCGATCAGACTGAAGTTGAAGTGATTTGTATGAGACGTGCGTGACTCAGCTCCAGCCCTGAGTACTGTCGACTAAAGACAGGAGACAGAAGTAGAGACGCTTGTAGCTGCTGCATGCTGCCCAGAGTCACATTGTTTTGCTGTTGAGTAGAATACGTATGAAGCTGCTCTGTGACCCGCTGAGAAACCTTCACGTTGTGTTCGTACGTTACGCTGTTAGAGCGACGCAGCACCAGAGCGATCATGACTGTGTGTTGTGTGTCACTGCTGTGTTTATAACTTGACTGTCTAAAGGGAAAGAAGGATCGTGTGATGTAGAAATGATTTGTCCATTTTAAAGTCGTGGATATTTTACTGCGGTTTGATCAAAAAGAGACTTTTTTGCACATATTTCAAGTCCTGAGCGATGAAGCCACAGAAGGTGATCCTGCACATTCGCTCTGCTCGGATAAGTAACTTCATTTCACTGATGTTTTAATGACAGAATGGTTTTATCGATGAAGTCAACATGCAGGTAAACTGTGAGGAGGGTTTAGTGCTGTGCTCTGGACGGCACAGAACAAGAGGAACGTGATTCACCTGGAGGGAGCGACTGTGTTATCCAAAGACTCAAATGAAGCATTATATGGTTTAAATGATTTACTATTTATTACACTTGTGGTGTACTTGTACATGCTGGTTGTATCGGTGACGTTACTGAATCACAAAGAGCCAGAAGTGTGTGTGTGTGTGTGTGTGCTGTGCTGAGACTCCTGCTGCTGTCGGAGCCTTAAAGCTGCAGAGAGCCTCGTGGTGAAGACGCTCGGCTGCCTTACGTCTCATTTGTTTAGTTCAAACCTCGTTCAGAGCAAAACTACATCTTTGCCAAAGAATCTTTGTTTCTCTTCAGCACGTTTGCCACGGCTGCTTTATTAATCCATGCTCATTGTTTTATTAGACTATCTTTACACAGTATTGTCTTAACTTGAAGTTTTAATGAATGGGCATCTACATAACTGTAGCTTGAGAGGGACAAAGGTCTGTATGTACTCGTTGTGTTGTCTGATGTGCTGATTCAGCAACTTGTCTCAGCGTTCCCCTCGTGTGGCTTCCTGCTCCTGCACCAATAACCGATCAATAAAGACATAAAGCCGGAGTGTCTGTCAGCCTTCACTGTCTGCATGCACAACGTGGAATTTAGGATAAATGTTAAAAAGAATCTGGTTTATTTTTTACATTAAAACACATTTTACTGAGTAGAAAAAGGTCAAAATATTTATCCAACGAGTAAAACTCTACTTTTCTACATAATGTTCTATTAAAACTAATTGGTCGCAAATAAATAAAAAGTGTTTCTTAGTTAAGTTCGGTAGTTTTGTTATAAAAAGTGTAGAAACGTTTTCACATCATTTAATGTGCAGTAGAGCGTTTCAGTGCCACGCTGCTCTTCTCCTGCTCAGCACACGGTCGGTGATCCTCTGGAACACAGAAGAACAGGAAGCAGCTTTAAGGAGAACGTGTGGATGAACAGTTCTCCGTGTTTGTGAGCGAGAGCAGCGGTTTGTGTCGTACCTTGTTGTAGAGTTGAGCGTTCAGCCGGTAGGATCGATACTCTGCTATCCTTCTCTCCTCCTCTCTCCGCCGCTGCACCTCCGGAAGACTCTCATAGATCCTGGTGAAGAGACAAATATATTCTGCAACATCTGAAACACAAGTACTGCAGCAGCAGCTGTACTCTCACCCGTGCCAGTGATGATCACAGTACTAAACCTTTAATACAACGGCTGCATTTCAAACGTCATCAGTTCCCAGATCAATAAACAGATCTGACATCACTTGCTTTTAACATTTTAAAAACACTAAATCAATGTTGAATCCAGTCAAAGTCCAAATGGTGATATAACGATGTACCATTTCACTTTACCTCGTGTTTTTATATACATTCTCTATGCATGTGGTACATAAATCACCCAAGATCGTCTTAAGTATTGCTACTAAAGTTGTGCAAAGTATTGGTAGTACTTTTCTTTAGAATAATAAATCTTATTATATTACGTCTCTAAATGAGAACCTTACTGTTTGGATCTCTGGATCATCTCTCTCCTGGGAACAGCCCTCCTGAGCAGAGCGCTGCCTGAACACACGGATAACAGAGGAAACACATTTAAACACATGCAAGGACTGTCAGGAGCAGTGATCTGGATACATACAATATGAAGCGGTGAGACAGGACATCAGCAGCACCTCCGTTCAGGGACTCCAGCTCTCTACTTCTAGTGTACCAGGTGTCCGGCAGGTGTGACGTTACAAATCCTGGTGTTTGCCGTCGGTTACCTGCAGGCTTCTGGAGCCTCCCTGGTCCTCCGGGCCGGCTGAAGAGTCCGTCTCTCTCTCTGCTGAACTCTTCCCGTAGCTTCCTCTCCTCCACCTGCAGAGCCAAGCGCTTCACCCTCCGCCTGGACTGAGAGATGAACTCTGGACGACGCATCTCCAGAGCCTCCTGCAGGAGGGAAGAGGAACATTCATGTTAATGTGTTAATCAATAACAAGAGATTTAAAAATGTAAAATCTAAATCCTATCAGGACTCCCAACAGTTCATCTTACAGGCAGTAAAACGTGATCTTTTCTCAATCTTAAGTGATGTTATTCTACATGAACAGTTTAGGTTGTTTCACATGAAAGCTCTGAGTTCAGTTATGAAGAAGTGACCGACTCAGCAACAAGTGGTTTGTGTTTGACTAAACGATTAATAAATAATACCGACAGATGTTCTGTTTCTTCTTCTATATCTATTTAAAGGTTCTCTGTTTGATAATCGGAGCATTAACGTTGTCTCTGTGAAGACACAGTGGAGTGATGTCTACCGAAGCAGAGAAGACTCTCCTCCTGTGTGTGTGTGTTGTGATCTCTCCTCCTGTGTGTGTGTTGTGATCTCTCCTCCTGTGTGTGTGTGTGTGTTGTGATCTCTCCTCCTGTGTGTGTGTGTGTGTGTGTTGTGATCTCTCCTCCTGTGTGTGTGTGTGTGTTGTGATCTCTCCTCCTGTGTGTGTGTGTTGTGATCTCTCCTCCT